TAACAATCCAATAAAAACAACACATACATAAAACAATCAATATAAAAATACAAAAATCAATATTAAAAGATAAATATGATAAAAAACAAATATATAAACCCTAGGCAAGAGAGAGTAAGGATAGCTAACTCAGCAATGGAGCCATCTAAGCATGTCTCTGGTTCCCTGGAAGCCCCAAGCCTGGTGACCTAGCCAGGCCTTGAGGGACCTCCGGAAGGTCAAAAGGGATGGAACTAATTTAATATCAGGAGGAAGAATGTTCCACAAGGTGGGCACCATAGTAGAGAAGGCCCGACACCTGGGACCCACCAAATATACATCCCTAGTTGATGGTACCCTCAACAAGCCTTCTCTGCTAGATCTGATGGGGTGGGCTGATGTAGTTGGGAAAATGTCAGGGAGAACTAGCTGAAGGAAACTGACAGAACTATTTCATCTTGAAAAAAATGTCTCTTTATTCACATCTACAGCATTAGAAACCTAGGTTTCATGCTCCATAAACCTTTTTACATTTTTGGAGGGAAAAAAATAAATATCTCTACTTCTGGACTGAGGACCGTGCAGGTTGTCTTCTTACTTTGACTCTTAAATATACATTTGCTTATAACACATTTACAGCATAACCCATCTCTCTAACAAATGTAAGTCTAACTTTCTGTTCCAGTGGCTGATCAGATGCATGTACCTCACATCTATCCAGCCACCTAACCCTGTTTGAGAAGCACACACCTAATTACATTTCAGTTAAAAAATATACCATCAAGTTATTCTTTGGTGCTGTCCAGCTGCTATGTTGGAAGAGAGATATGGAAATCAGGGTTATCAAAAATTAAGGGTCGTCTTGGTGGCATTGCTTCCTTATCAGCTTTATGCAGCAGCTTGAAAAGTCCTGTTCCAATGTTCATTGGAATACCCATAATAATGCATTCAGAAACACCTGTAGAAGATCAAGAAAAGAACAACAGTAACAATGTTTCACACCTCCCACCTTTTCTCATTCTCCACCTGCATTAAACATGGAGAAAACCCAGCTATTTAAGAAACTGTGTGCATCATAGTTCAATGTAGTGATTTATCTGCAGGTCAACTCCACAATCAAGAAATCACAGGGAAGAGCTAGGGGGATGTCACAATTACATATTAGAGCCCTGGAAGAGATTCATCTAGCTTAATTCAGCAAATGTTCTGAACGTGCAGTCAAGAATTTAATGTTCACACACAGGAACATATGAAGCTTTTCAGCCTACTGTTTCCTGATTGGTGCTGACTGCACAAGAATAAAACATCAATAAAAAAAATCCATATATGGATTGTTTTTCTTTTTTAAAAACCCACTACCTTGTTGTACCATGTTTGAAAAATCAAGAGAAAGAACATAATATATCTGGGGGGCTGAGTAGAAAAGGCCCTCATTCAAATATATATATATATATATTCACTGTACAGTAGGACTTCAATTGATTTTACATAAATAATATACCTGATTTATAGAAATGTATTTAATGGCAAGTAGTCATCTTGAGTGGGCTATAAATTAACCTAAACTACTTACCACACACTGAATCTTTCTGCCCAAAGTATGCAGCATCAAACAGATGATCTGCAGTCTTTTCAAATGAAGCAAGCATCAATACACTCTCCTTCATTTTTGCCAGGCCAAATCTAGTAATTCCCAGAACTTCACCCTAGTCCCAAAAGGAAAAATAGTGGGAAAGCAAAAGCTGTTAACATTAGTGGAGAGCTGCCAAATGGGTAGACAGAAAAAATGGCAAGACATGCAATGCTCCATTCCAAACTTCATATTACAGTGGCCATCTTTTTCATTTTGGGATGAAAACCAGATAAATAGAATCAACAGGAGATTACTTCATTTCTCATCAGTCGAAAGAAGGATTACCAATACAATCTCCCTCTCTGAAAAGAGCACCCTCCCAGTTGCAGGACTTGACTCACTGTGAAATTAGCTACCAAAGCTCTTTGACAAAGCAAAATTGAAACAGGCCCATTTTACCAAAAGCAATGAAGAATAAAGGATGGGAAAAGGAACGTATAGGAGAGATTCTCCTAAGATATCCTAAATCAGATATAGTGAATCTACAGTCCTTCAGATGTTAATGAACCTTAGCCAAATGGCTAATAGTGAAGTTGCAGATCAGCAACGTCTGAAGGGCTTATGAAAGCTAAAGAAAGGAACTGTATAACTGGAAACACATCCTTGACACATGGCCAGTCTTCATCAGCAGGAGGAAAACAACCAAGGGATCTTCAGCAGGAATAATAGCTTCCTGGGGCTGGGAAGGAAAGGGCATGAATATCTACAAGACAAATTCCAAAGCTTATTACTAGCATCTCCTTTGGGTAGGATGTGAATGTATCAATTCCACGACAAATATTTCAGAAAGGCTGGAATGGTTATGCTATAAATCAGCTCAGCTGGGGGGAAAACAATCCTTGGTCTTGTAAAAAGGTAAAGGTGCCCCCAAATTCAAACCTGACTCTTGTTAAGTCAATTGGTAGCAGTTTGCTTAC